ATATTAATATAAAATATAACAAACAACTATCATCACTAAATATTAAGGTTAATTTTAAAATGCACTTTTATAATATTGAATAAGTTATTATAAATTTTACCATGATATTAAATAAAGAAATTATCATTTAAAATAAAAAATCTTATTTAGGTTTAAATATTGTTTTATTGAAATGCACTTCATAAAATTCTTGATTGAATAAAAATATCAGCAAAAGTTTATAAAATATAACTATTAATTATATAATAATTATAATGAAGGTAAAAAATGTCATATTTAGAAAGCCGTTCCACAATTATCATCGCCAAGCTTAGATTTAGCCACACACCCATTAGGTCCAGTGCAATATGACTTTAATTGAGCAGGGGCAAATGCATCCTTACAGTGGTAATAGGCATTTGGGTAACAGTTTCCAGTCAACACGGCACCAAGGTCAACAATATCACCTGGTTTATCTTTACGATTGCCACAATGGGTCCCGGTGTAATAACCACATTTGCATGCTGTTTTATCTTAAAATGCAGTAGAAAATAATTTAATTCAAAATTTTACCTAGCTTCATAAACCACGTACCAACGCAATCTGCTATAAATAAAAACATACATGTATTATAATTACCAATAATAGGCTAACATAATTTATATAATCTATATTATAGATTATAAATAATAATTTATTATAAATACCTTTTGGATCCGCAGGGTTTGCGTTAATGATTTGAATGCAAACCAGTGCCAAGAAAAGTGCCTGTGTTACTTTAATGTACATTGTTGAAAATGGTATTACAGTACTTATGGTTTGTAATTATATATAAAGTGATATACTTTCCAAAACTTGTGATTTTTTCACTAAAAATGCTTTACCTTATATACCCAAAATGTTTGAAACAATTAATTGTATATAATCTCGCTACAATCTTACAATAGGATTTCTGGTATTGTACTTTTATATTTTAGGTATAAATTTCATAAATAAATCATTAAAATGTTTTTGACCCCAACTTTATTGTATAACATTCTAATAAATGTAATATTCAACTAGGTCGGACTAATACTGATTAACATCTTTCCAGTGAAATGCCTAATACTTTATTTCATAAACATCTATTTTATATACTTATTTACTTGCACATTTTAAACACATTAATATCATACAGTAAATCCGGCTAACCCATTTATCCTGATAATAAGTATGATTTTTCTAAAACACAATTAAACAATAGAGTTAATATAATATTTATTTGTAGGCTTTCTCAGCAAACAACATTGCTGACATTAAACAGATTTAATATTATACATTTTATAACCCTTTAATAACTATTGCCTCGCTATATCATAAACCACAAATTACATTTCTTAATAATTATTAAAACCGAAAAAGTTAAGTAAATAAAATAATGACACCATAAATATTAATGCTATTAAATTGTTTATTCAATTGTGATAAGGGTTGTAAAACTGCAACTCGCAATAAAATATAATTTCGTGTATAAGATTTTATGTATTAAAATAATAAAAGTTTATTATAAAGTATAATGATCAACACAGTTTATATAAAGATTTTAATTTTCAAAATAAACTTTTCTGTTTTACAATTTAAAGTATAAAAGTTTAGAATTTTAAAAACTATTAATTTCATATTTAATTCTTACTGGTTAATAATAAATAATTAAACTAATTTTAAATACATTATTAATAATTATTCTCAAATTTTTTGCAATCATAATACTTGACACATTTATTGACGCCAGCGCTGACTTTAACGTACGGGCGCTTACACTCACACCCTGTATAGCAATCAAGAGTACAGGGTCTCAGTGAGCGCTGATAGTTTTGGCACGTGAGTGGACAGGGAGTCCCACACTTATTGAACCTTGCACCTCGACCACAACTAGTCCTTTGCCATAACTCTAGTTATTATTATAAAATTTTACATAAACTATACAATAATTTTAAATTAATTAGCTTATTGTTTTAATATTACCTTGGCAAGTGAATGTGAAGATTTCGAGAGTTGTAATTATTAAAACTATTAAGAATTTATTCATTTTAAGTAAAAGAGCTTTTGTTGTACTTTTTGTATTACTTTTTATTTGTTAATATAAAATAACTTTTGCATTCAATGTCTGAAAATAAACTAAACGACAAATTGATTATCCGTTAAAATAGTTTCAATAAAATGTTTGCTTCGGAAGGATATTAAGTACATTATATTAGAAACTATTATATTATTTATAGCTGATTGAAT